TTAGATATTAAAATATATCATGGATTCAGAGCGGACACAGATGATACAATTAATTATTTAATATTTGAATTTGCGTTATTTATGTGAATTATATAATCAAATTCAATACTAAATTATAAAAAAGAGAATATGCTTTCTTTGAACTTATTCTAAAATTGGCCATTTAATCTTTAGCAGGTTCAGTTATCTAACATTAAATTTCAAATTCACTTTTTTTAAAGCATATATATTTAGAGAATCATAATATTTAATTTAAATTTAAATAATAATTTTCATATCATTTATAAATCTTGGACGTTCATTATCTAAGCTCTTAGCTGCCGTATTTGGATGCTTATCAATTTTGGCTTAAGTTTTTGTTTATTAATCTAAAGCGATTATAAGGTAGTATATGTTAGAAAATTTTAATTATTTGACAATGAACATTCAAATATCCCTCAATCGTCATGTTCGAATATGAGATTTCTAATGATAACAATCATGTGCATCGTAACTAAAGTTTAGGTATGGATGGAAGTGTATTATTTTTGAGATCTTCAAACAATACATAGATGACCCAAATTCGTATTTATAGAATATATCCAGTTCTTATGCTCGATATATAAACCAGGAAAATAAATTTATATTTGGACATTTTTCAAGCAAATCTTGAAACTGGTGGAGTTGTCCAGGGAATAGCACGAAGATGAAGGCCTCCTTTCATATGAAGAGTGAATATTACTTTGTAAATAGCATCTTTCTTATCATCTGCTAGTTTGAAGCGAAAGCAACGAAGAATTGCGATGGAGAATATCTTCATTTGTCTGTAGGCAAATTCTTTGCCTAAACAAATACAAGGACCCGCCTGTAAAACCCCAAATCTTAGAATTTGAAGCATAAATGTAATAATGTATTAAGTAAAGAAGATGGGATTCAAACGTACATGGAATGTTATGAATTTGAATGGCGATTCGGGTTGAAAAACTCCCTTTTTAAGCCATCTTTCGGGTCAAAAAATCTCAGCATCTTCACCCCAAATGTAAGTCATTCTACCCATGGAGTAAGCCATGTACGAAACCTCTTCTCCTTAATTGATTTTGTGCCCATCTGGTAAAATATCATCCTCCATTGCACACCTTCCATCCTTGTAAACACAATATTATAACAATATTATGCTTTGAAAGTGACCTGATTTAGATACACACATGGTGAGACAGACTAGGTTTAATTACCATTGGTGTTACGGGGTACAATCTTATGTTCTCGGTCAATGCTGCATGAAGATATTGCATCTTCTGAAGAGTTTCATCGGTTATTGTTGCTAAGAAATCGTCGTCGTTAACACAAGTTTCTCCGTCGCCACCGCCACAGGTGACGTCCATCACTTCTTGTGCAACTTTTTCTTGTACCGATGGGTTCTTGCGCACATGTAAAAGAACCAGCACAAAGCATTGGTGGTGGTATCTTTACCAGCAATCATGAAACTAAAAATCATGTCCCTTAGATATTTTTCATTCATCGTTTCTGTATTCTTCTCCTTCTCTGCTAAAAACCTTGAAAGTTTGTCATCTTTGACATTCTTAAACTCACCACCAACAAGTAAACAAGAACATTTAGCAACACACAGCATAAACATTGGCTTTTAAAAGTAAATTTAGAGAAAAAAAGTATGACTCACGATATCTGGTTTCAATGCTAGTTGTTTCTTCTTGGTTCTTAGAACATTATAAATAAAATCATCAATGATTTTGATGTTGTTCTTGAGGGAAGCTTCGGAACCGATGTTGAGAAACCTTTTCAGCTTCCACAAAGGATCAACATAACGGAAGTACACCGACTCAGTTGCATATCATCGAAAGCTTTCATAAATGTCGTCCCTTCATCTTTCTTGCTTGACAAACTCATGCAATTCAAATCTACTCCGAACCCGACTTTAATTATCGACTCCATAGTTGTCAACTTGAGTCTGGTGATCGTAGAGATGGTCGAAGTAAAACAGCATGTTGAAAACACGAGCGTATTTTGGATCATTAATGGATTTTCCGGTGAAGATTTTGACAACAAAAATGGATAGAATTAGGAACACAAACAAGAACGGAAAAGCTGTCGACGAGAAGATAATAGTCAGAAAATCCATATTTCTTTTAATAAAATTACTTTGAAACCTATAATTATCAGACATATACTTATATACATATTACATAACCTAATTCTTTTGTTCGAATATTCATTTATTTTAGGATCACGACAAACCCAACAAGTTGTTGTCCATGGTTTTAGGTTTTATATTTATATCATGTGAAACGTATTTGACGTCAATATGCTTGTATGATAATCTTGAATAATGCATGTACAGTTAATACGTGACTATTAGGTCATTTACGACAACTCTCTACTTGTGTTTTTTTTTTCTTTTAAGAAAACATCTACTTGTAATTATTTTAACTATGATTACTTCTTCTTTTCGTTTTTTTATGAACTACCAGGGATTGGTGTTGCTGATTTTTGTCCTTCTTGTAAGAAAACAAATCACTAGGAAAATAATTTAAGAAAAATTAACGATAAAGACTCGACACCAATAATGATTAAGAGAAATACTATTAGGTAAATTATTTAAATGTTCATTCCAACTCTCGTACTATAAAGGAATAAATATTTTATGTTAATCGCTAATTTATTATTTATTTACTTCATTTTTTAAAGTTACCAATAAAGAAAAATTATCAGAAAAACAAAGAACGTGAATTTATATGATATAATCTTTTTGGTTTATCATTCTTCCGTCAATATGTACTTAATATTTATTTTCATAATAAATATATATCTCAAAACCACAAGTTCAAGGATAAGTAATGGATGGCTTAATGGTCTGATGACGGAAATGAAAATTTTTATTAACTATAATGATTTTAATGAAAGTTTTTTTAATTTAGGTGATCAAAGTGAAAGTACTTTAAAAGTAGAATGAGCACCAACGTAATTTACCTTTTTTTATATAAAAATATTAAAAAAATTAACCTTGTTTTAAAAATAATCAATACAATATAAATTTTCTTATTCCGCCACCAGGGACGAAGCTATGCTTCGTTCCAACAAGAAGTCACTATCCTCTATTTTTTTTTATTATTAAAAGAAATTTATGAGTAAATCTTAAATTAAAGCTCCAATTTTTGGATAAGTGTTTTATTTGTTTTTTTTATGTATTTAAAGATAATACTTTTATAATTGTATTTGAATATGTTTGAAGAAGAATGAAAGAGTCTGAATATTTTTAATGATTCATTTACTACTTGTATTATCAACATATTTAGCATTCATAAAATCACACATCAGTTGAATATATAAGTACTTAAATATAGGGCAAAGTATACAAATGGTCTTTGATTATAGGTATTATTTTGTTCGAGTATTAAAAGTTACAAACTGATACTTTATTTATATAGTGTTATTTTGTTGAGTCACCGATTATTAAAAGTTACAAAATGATCCTCAACTCTATAGTGTTGTTTTGTTGAGTCCCTCGACTATTAGAAGTTATAGAATGGTAATTCGGCTATTCATATGTTATAAGCTTTTTCTTTTCCGTTAAGAAATTGACGACCTTTCGAGTTAGACATTAACATACTGACTGAGATATGATAAAATCATATTTTAAATATGTCTACTGGCACCACCATTGTTTTCAAGCACTGACTCGACGACATAATATAAACGGCTAGTCGATCCAAAAAATACAACTCAAACAGTTATGAGATCATATTTTATCATATCTCAATCGACAAGTTAACGTCCAGCTCAGGCGACCGCTAATTTTTTTTAAAAAATGACGATTTTGGAACATATAGATAATCATGTGACTATTTTATTACTTTTAGTAGTCGGAAAACTCAATAAAACATCGTCCTATGATCGGAGACTATTTTCTAAATAATCGAATGACTCAACAAAATAACATCCTATAGTCGGGATCATTTACCTTAAGTATAAACTTAATATTTTTTTCTCACTGAATGATTGGGGTTAAGATCCACACATACCCATAGTTGTCGGCCGCTGAATCTATTTTTTATTTGTTATAATGTGTGTTTCTATTTAGATAAAGTTAGCAAAAAATTTCTAGTTTTGAAATTGGTCCTTGCTATTTCTCTTTCATTTTAATTCTTATCAATGTGAAGTCTAGTGTAAATAGAAGTCAAAGACGCCGAGAATTGTGATTGATTTTAACTTCCTAACTCTTTTTATTTATAATAATTAAGTATAATTTTATTAAAATCATCAAAATCTAAAAATAATTTTAATAAAAATATCATAATTCCTTAAATAAGTTTCTTACATATATATTATTTATTTTTATATTATTTTTCTAAATTAACCGTCGAGTATAACCTCCAAGCTTGATAATTTTTTAAGAAAAAAGCGTAATTTAAATATAAATATTTCAATTTGGGAAGGAGGGTATAGCTCTCATTTTATAGTAGGTTGGGCCTTTGGGCTACACGTGCCCTATCCTTTTCATGAGTATGGATAACCCCATTTTGACTGGCCTTCTTATTTAACATGCTTCTCGCATCTGTCCACAAACGATGTCATTTGTCAAGTATAAATGTACTTAGTCTATCTGAGATATATTGGAGAAAAGGTACAGAACCGATAATATCGGAATTCACAAGTATTTCGTCATCGAGAAATGACTCGGAATTAAGATGTATGTCATCGAGACATTACTCGATATGTTGTCGAGAAACGACTCAAGTTTCAGATGACAGACAAAAACCGATAATGCACTTGAGGGAAGATGGAGACGCATCGGACATTTGTAGTAATATCACCAAACTAATTACAAGACCATTGGAAGAAACAAAAGGCACCCACTTTAACCTTAACAAAAATTTTAACTCAAACTATTGTCCACTGATATCTCATCAAACAAGAGGTTCCAGTTTGTACATCGGAAGAAACACCTCAAGTTGGTGTCATAAAAGTTGGATCCACAACTCTAAAAGGGTAACATGAAGATCACATCAGGAGAATTTACCATTATCAAATACCGTAACAGTTGTGTCGCTGATGGTAGTCTCACTGCTGCTGCTCATGCTCTTTTCGTCTAGTGTAGTAGGCAGATGACTTGGAATCGAGATAGACAAACTGGTGCTCGGGGCTGGACATGTTGCTTTGTTGGCTATTGTTAATCCACTAGGTCGAGAATCACCGTTTGTGGGAACGGCAACAGGCTGCAGAACCTCGGCGTGCTTTCTAGCGCCTCTGTGCATGTGCCGCACACAATATTTTTTGATCAGGAACAACGTCCCTGCTGCACCGCCATCTTTTCCCATCTGTTCTTCTACACCTCCCCGGTTCAACTTCTATTTTGTTTTTGTAGACACGGGAACTGCTGTTGCCTAGCACTGAAAAATATCACATGGAAAAGTCATTTTTAACTACTAAAACTAAAATGACAATGCTATGCATAACAACACAAAAATGAACATCATCATCATCCCAGCATTTTCAGCAAGTACGTTGCAAGCATAAGCTACTAAAACTAAAATGATACAGTGAAGAAGATGGAATAACACGAAAGGATTCATCTTAATAAAAAAGAACCTTCGAATAGATCTTTCAGACTAACAAACAATACAGACTATTCAAATGATTCCTACAAGATAAGACCATGAACCCATGCAGTATAACCAAATTCAAAAGGCCTATATATTGAATGATGTATAGCATATTTGTATCAACAACCAAAACAGGCAGGGATAGGAAGGTTCTCAAATGGAGTGGCGATGGAGTAGCAGTAGGAATCACGTTACAGGAATGTACTGTGCTACCTTGAAGAACGCTTTTTGGAGAAAAGCCGACAGTCGGAGATATGTTATGAGCAACGGTTACTTTGTTTACACACTTGCAACTTCTATTGATGGTAGTACCGTCACTAACAGAGGGTTTCTCTTCATATTGCTCGCTTTTGATCCTTTTGGAATCATTTTCGCCTGTTTTCTTGGTTGCAGTGATGGTACTAGTTGAGGCATTGGCGGTAACATATTTTCGGTTGCTACATATATTGTCGCTCCCTATAGCAGCGATATCGGGGGTCTCATGGCTTGAGCTGGTATTACAGGAAGATTGGTTCATGTATTGAGAACATACAGGTGCTGAATGATTCTTCGAGTTTTTCGATAATTTGATCGAAATTCCCGACGATGTCAAGTCGGGCAAAGCAGTTTGAGAAGTAGTTTCCACAGGCTTTCTTGAACGCCGACAGCCCCTATGCATGTGCTGCAAACAATACTTCTGATAAGGGATGACATCCTTACTGCACCGCCATTTCTTCCCGTCCGTTCTTCGACACCTCCCTGGCTCGGGATCCACCATGTTCCGATAATCAAATGCTTGAGGACTCACTCCAACTGAAAACAAACAAAAAGTAATTTGCATTCCTCGTGTAAAATTTCACATTACCGAAACCAAATCATTTCATTAGAAGGAAAACTATACAGCTCCCCAAACAAATTAAATTGCAAGATACTGCTCTGCTCAAACAACAATAACTAACAGATAAAAAAAATTAACACTATTACCCTTTTACATCTTAGTTCTTACCAATAAAAAATGGGGAAATGAAAAGGAAAAAAAAGATCTGCATGAAAATTTCTCTGACGAATTCATGAAGCAAAATGAAAACAGAAAACAAAATCAAAAGAGTGGGGGGGGGGGGGCGGCGGGAGAATGAATCTGGGCAAGAGAAAAGTTAAAAAAGGATAGAGCTTACAGCTGGGATACCGTTGATAGACGCCAACGGAGAAGGCGACGCTTTTCCAAATGGATAAAACAAGGCTAACGGGAACTTGGATTCCACCCGCTATGTATTTGAAGATGAGCGTTTGCAATCGCAGCTCGTGCAACTGAGTTGTCGTAAACACACACTTCCCGTGTTTCCTCACGGGTGTCACTTTCGACGTTTTCCTATCAATCCCCAGTCCCAACTTTATCGACGGTGATCCTTCCTCCTCTTCCATCTTCACCGTCCTTCTCTTCCCCTCCAACAATTCTTGGGTCCCACTCCCACCACCACCTAAAATCAACAACATAAAATTAATTAACCAGTCACACACGCTATATATGTATATATATATACAGAAAGAATAACAGAACCTGGGTGAACTCGGCTTTGAACCGGCTGGAAATCCATTGAGGACAAAAACAAAAACAAAGATTAAAAAATGGTTTGAATATTTTCAAAAGATGAAACTTGAACTTAAAAACATGATCAATACCGGTTCTACGAAAGGCAGGCAGCGACGAGTGTGACATAAAGTCGACGTTAAAACGCGTGTCAGGATTCTGACAATATCAGCCTTTCGCAGTCACTGCAGGCAAAATTTCCATTTTTTTTTGTTCATCGTCATTTTTTTGTTTACATGCTTCATGAAAAGGGTGAAGCTCACGCCTCAAAATTGGCGTTTGAAATGGACGTTCCAATGAAAGGGTGAAAGAGTGATGTTGTTGAGGGCGATGACAAAGTGATCAGTTGTTTGCCACGCGCATTGTCGGATTAATTTACCCGGCACAATCGATGGGCATAGAAGGACACGTCACAGGATTAAGTTATGGCGGGTCCTACCTTAAGTAAAGGGAAAGTGGGGCCCGATTTTGCATGTCAGCTGTGACGGGTGAGCAGTTGACAGTGCCACCAAGTAAATGTCTGACGTGTCGTTTATATGTGTGATTTAGTGTTGTCATTGGGCTTAGGCTTCTGATTTGGGGATCCCGTACTGGACTTTGTTTCATTTTAGGGTTGGTGATTTTGGCCTTGGCTTAGATTAGAGGTCGTGTACTCATTGTTTATCCTTTAGATCTTTATAGGTCATTGTGCATCTTTTACTAAATTACAAAAAAAATTATGTTTAATTAAAAAACACCCTTTAATACTAAATTATTTACTCATGCCTCTTTGATATGAGAAATAAATTAATATACTATGAATAAACTATTAAAATTAGTTTTCAAGATCGAAGTGTCAATTAACTTATAAAGATATTTTTAGAGGAGATTTTCTTGTGAAATAATTTCCATTCAATTATCTTTATAACACGTTTTGAAATGTCTCAATTGACTATTGATTGTTCTAAATGACAAAAGAAATTATCATTATTTTGTTGAGTACCTCAACTATATAGAGTTACTTTGTTGAGTCCCTCAATTATCAAAAGTTATTAAATGATCACATGACTATTTATTATGTTCAAAACTCGTATTTTTTCGATAAAAAATTAATGACAACCTAAGTTAGACATTAACCTATTGAATGAGATATGATAAAATATAATTTCATAATCTCAAACGACTATCATATCCCAATCAGTATATTAACATCTAGTTCAGATGACCGTTAATTTTTAACTAAAAAAAACGAGTTTAAAATATAATGAATAATCGTGTGACCGTTTTAAAATTTTTAATAGTCAATAAACTCAACGAAATAACTCCATATAATCAAGGAACGATTTATGTACTTTACCCAACAAAATAAAACGTCAATCTCTGTATCCTTTAATGGTCTACGGATTAAAGCCCTAACCTCCCCAAGTCCTTCCTATTTAGCTCTCTTCTCTACACTGACTAAGCTCCGAAAGATGGCCGCCGCATTTCGGGAATTATTAATATTACTATTGAAAATATTATTATTATTTTAAATATTTTTAATAAAAAATTACTTAAAATATTATTGTTTTACCTAAAATATTAATATTTTTTTAATATTTTCTATAAAGTGTCAATATTAATATTTATAGAAGAAAAAAATAATATTTTAGATAATACTTTATTCCATATATTAACAGATCTATTAAAATGTCTAATAATAATATTTTCAGTAAAAATAATAATTTTTTTGATAATTTTTTTATCAAAAATATTAAAAAATAATAATATTATCTATATTAGGCTACCGCATCCCGCATTTCACCCGCTCAACTTCACCCTCTTCATTCTGTCTTTAGTTGTTGTTTCAGTCGATACCCACAATATAACAGCCATTCTCGAAGGTTTCCCAGATTACTCCTCTTACAACAGTTTCCTCTCCCAAACAAAACTCGCCGATCAAATCAACACCAGAGAGACAATTACTTGTCTTGTCCTCAACAATGGAGCTATGTCGGCTCTCACAGCCAAACACCCCTTGTCTGTCATCAAAAACATCCTTAGCCTCCACGTTCTTCTAGATTACTACGACCCGCCAAAAGCTCCACAAAATCTCCAAAGGCACTACCCTCACTACCACGCTTTATCAAACCACCGGAAACGCCCCCGGAAACCTTGGCTTTGTCAACATTACCGATCTCCGGGGTGGGAAAGTTGGTTTCGGCTCCTCCATTCCCGGCTGCAAACTCGATTCGTCTTACACAAAGTCTGTTAAGCAGATTCCATATAGTATCTCCATCCTTGAGATCAGTGCTCCGGGTATCTTATCCGCTCCGGCCCCGTCGGCTTCTAGCGTCAATATTACCGGTTTGCTTGAGAAAGTCGGCTGTAAAACTTTTGCTAGTTTGCTTGCAAGTAGTGGCGTGCTCAAGACTTATGAGTCTGCGAGTGCCCTATGATGAAGCATTCAAAGCTGAAGGTGCCCCTGATCTGAACAAGCTCACCAGTGCCAAACAAGTCTCGCTTCTGGAGTATCACACTACGCCGGATTACAAACCCAAGGGGACTTTGAAGACCACGAAAAACCCCATCACCACAATGGCGACTAACAGCGCTGGGAAGTTCGAACTGACGGTTACCAACGCCGGCGACGACGCCACGTTCATACAGGGGTTGGACCATAACTACCAATGAAATGAAAATTTTATTTATCGTCACGCTTCAATAAATAATGGCAACACTTTAAGGAATTATTTAAAATTTTTAAACCTATTCAAAATTTAAATCATAATTTGAGGATCGACAACAAATTAACCCAGAATAATGGTTATTCTTAAGCCTCTAGAACCGTAACCTTTGACACGAGACCCCCGACTACGACTACCATTTCCTTTTGGCTGCTAATCAAATGATATTATCAGTAAGACGAATTTATTGACCACGTGGAAGTATCTTATTGGTTCAAAGTCACAAGTAAGATATTTCCAACATAATCAGACTAATCCAGTGTACCAAAGAAGGCAGTTAGGGCATCAAAATCCCCGCCATTTTCCTGTTCTGCTTACTCCCTTCACTCACCCAGAGTCGGCTCTCTGCTCTCACCAATGGCCACAAACGAAGAAGAAAAATCAGAGACTCCAATTTCTTCAAAGCCCAGTCCAAGCCCCAAGGACATTGTGTCCCACTCGCCGTCGTCACAACCCAAGAAGAACGACACCTCTCCGCCTTCTAAGGTGTCGTTGAGTCCCAAACAGTTCATCGTCTCAGCCGCGGCCAACATCTCCTCTCAGCCTCTCCCGACCAACGATCCGAACGTTTGGGGCGTTCTCACCTCTATATCCAACAATGCCCGCAAACGCCAGCAGGTTTCCCCCCCCTCTTTTTTAAACCCTACACCTTCTCGTTCCGTTATTTTGTATATTTTCAACTTTTATTTGTATCATATGTTTTGAATTGTTTGACTGGTTGAACATAAATGTAAAATTGCTTAAGGAATTAGGGGAAAGAAAAAAAAAGATTGAAAGAAACGATCATGGTGGAAATTGTAATATGCAATGTATGTGAAAGGCTGATGAGAAGGGTCATTTTTCTCTAGGGTATGAATATGCTTTTGACTGCGGATGAGCATTGCATTGGCCGATTAGTAAAGGAAACAAGTTTTCGAATTGATTCAAATTCAGTAAGCGCGGTACATTGCAAGATATATAGGAAGAGAGTGACCAATGAAGATACACAGCAGTCGTCCAATTGTTCTACATCTGTTTTCTTAAAAGATACGAGGTTACTACGCTGTTTATGATTTCTTTTGTTGGGTTTACAGTATTTATAAATTCTGATTGTTTTTTACTTCTTTTTTGTAGTACAAATGGGACATATCTTAACTGGGAGAGGTTGAGAAAGAATAGTCCTGAATTTAAAATGCAACATGGAGACATCATTTCATTTTCTGCTCCTCCACAACATGGTACCACTAATATCTCTATTGTTCATGAGGTTTCCTCTTAGGTCACATAATTAGGATGTGATTATTTTTTGTTTCTTTCATTTCAAATGGGATTTGAAGCTTGCGATGCATTGCAAAATCAATAATTATCTTCCTGGTTACAGAACTTGCTTTTGCATTCGTATATCGAGAAGTTCTTAGCTCTGTTCACCCAGCAGAAGGTGCATCTGCAAAAAGAAAAGCAGGTATATATACTCAAAGTTCTTGCCTTTTGTGTTCTGAATTCCATTTTATTTTTATCAGCTCTTTATTTTCTTCAAGTTTTCCGTAAAATTGATATAAACTTCACCGAGGAATAATTGCCTTGACTGTTTTCAAATTTCCAAACAATAACAAAAAAATTAGCAGGTTTATGTTTAAATCTGTAAGTCTAGTAATGTTCATAACACATCAATGGCTTGGTTTAGACTCATTTTCTTCCTTTTATATGGTTCTCCTGTTTTATTGAGGAAAGACATACTGAAGTACTACCATGTGAAAAAATTGCCCCTCATGAACATCCAATGTTTTCTGGCCATCCCAGATCATGCGGATGAACTTACCTGTGAAAAAAAGAGACTAAAAGGTATTGGCATTGGTGCTCCTGAGGGTCCTATATCTCTTGATGATTTTCGGAGTCTTCAGCGGTCAAACAAGGTATCTGATTTCGGATTCATCGGTTTCTGATTGATCAAACAATTGAGCTCTGTCACATGATAAATAATCCTGTGAGTTGGCGAATGCAGGAACTCAGGAAGCAATTGGAAGATCAGGTGCTTACAATAGATACATTACGTAATGAAAATCGCACAACTATTGAGCGACATGAAAATGTATGCTCTTCTGATGGATCTGAACTTTCCTTTCTGATTTATGTCTATGTTTGGGTTCATTGAGTTGGTTTAGTGAGAAATTTCCTAATTGTTGACAACTTTCTACAGGTTTAGCCATGTGTCTGTGTTACTGGATAGTATGGTTTCTGTTAATGACTTTATTTCTATTGATGAATTCCACTTTGATTTCACATGGTTATTGCTAACTTTGGTTACACGTACATTTAGTTGTTGTTAACAATTGGTTACTACAAATCAGTTCATATAGTCTTGACCTTCTTTGAAGAGAGAAAAGTAATGTGCAACACAGTGTTAATAATATTTTATGGATCACTTTCTAATTTTATGCCATTTATTGAAGCGTATGTCACTTTTTCTTGCTCTTAGCTGGTTCCTTTTTTGATTCAGATATATTATTATCTATTTCTACAGGAAATCAAAGAGATAAAAGAAGCAATTGCGAAGTCATACCTTGTCCAGCTCAAAGAATTGCAAATTCTGTCGGATGTTAAGCAAAAAGAGCTTGTAGAGGTCAATAGGATATCAGCTGAACAAAAGCATGCTATAGAAGACCTGAATGAAAGACTTAGTGCTTCCATGCAGTCATGTACTGAAGCAAATGAAAGAATGAAGAGGTAAGAAATGATGGCTTCATTAAATTTTGCAAATTTCTGGTACCAAAAAGATCTGTAGATATAATGTCCCAGTTTCATGCTTTAGTCAGAAGGCATCTATAGCTGAACTTAAGGTTCAGTTAGATGAGGAGCGAGACCAAAGGCGAGAAGAACGAGAACAGGCTTCTGCTGATTTAAAGGCTGCAGTGCAAAGAGCTCAGCTTGAGGCTCAAGAGGAACTGCAACGACTATCAGATGTTTATTTAAAACGGGAAACAGAGCAAAAAGAAGTAATTAATAAGCTTGAGGTGTACATAATTTTCTTCTTGTGCTTGCTTAGATATCCTTCATGTGCAATTTATTTCTAAAGAATTGAGAAATGAACTGTTATGCATCTCCAATCTTAGGAATCACTGAGACAGAGCTCAGCACAACTGGAAGATATGGTGGCCAAGCTGGTAATGTCTGCAAGGCCATCTGATTTTGAAGTTAAACACATGATACCAGTTTTCTATCTAAACTCTGAAATTATTGTTTCTCAATCCCGTCTTCTGCAGGAAGACACTAGGCAGAAATTGGTTAATTCTGAGAATAAAGTTCGCCAACTGGAAAGCCAAGTTTGTGAAGAACAGAAGGCCTCAGGAAATGCAAGAAAAGTATACTTTTTTTTTGTGCCTGCTTATATATACAATCATGTACAAATAGATTCTGAATCTGACATTTAATGTGCATTTGTGCAGAAAGTGGAAGAACTTGAACATGAAATGAAAGGATTGAGGAAAGAACTTGAGACTGAGAAGGTATATATTTATACTTTTCTTTGTACTTTACTATGATTTTATATTGTTTGCACTAGCTCTCTGCTGTACAACATGAAAAATGAATGTTGTGTTATGAAAATTATTTATCTAAACGCACTACAATTGATTTGTTTAATCCTATCTAGATTCACCTTTATCAGATAAATAGATAAACCAATCAGGGCACGACAAACCTCTGTTCTTAATCTTTATGATATTGGTCTATTGTTAAGTTGAAGTTTCCTTTACGGTTGGTAGCAGGCGGCCCGAGAAGAAGCATGGGCTAAAGTTTCTTCCCTTGAGCTTGAAATAAATGCAGCAATGCATGATCTTGATTACGAGAGAAGGAGGCTAAAAGGTGCCAGGGAAAGAATTATGCTTCGGTATGACTTCTATGACAATAGCATGTTTGATTTTTAGTTGCAATGTTGGTGTATGCATTTTAGTGAACAAGGTTCAATTCTTTTGTATATTGAGGCCAAGGTTCAATGGCTGCCGCCCATACTTATGAATTTTCTCAATTGAGCATGGTGATGTTTATGTGGCTTCTTTGCAGAGAGACACAGCTACGAGCATTTTATTCTACAACTGAGGAAATCTCCGTTCTGTTTGCAAAGCAGCAGGAACAACTGAAGGCAATGCAGAGAACTCTGGAAGATGAGGACAATTATGAGAATACATCAATTGATATTGACCTTAATGTACCACTGAATCAGAACTTAAATGGAACCATAGTTAGAGAAAAGGCTACTACTGGCTATCATGACAATAGTACCACAAGGAGAGGCTCCACTACTTCAGCTCAGAAAGTTAATGGTTCTAATGATGAAGCCAGTGTTACTGAGAAGCATGACTGTGGTATGAGAAGTCAAGATGTTGGTGAAAACACGCAGGAGGCAGAATATACAAGTGCTGATCGTTCTGTTAAAGGTGTCTTTGGTTCTGACATTGATGGTGTTTGTACAACACCTATTCTAGAAGGAGATACCATTGGAACTGAGCGTGTTCTCGAAACTGAAAGCTTGGGAATCGAGGTTGAACCAAATATTGATTTGAACAGGTGTGAAACTCTAGGTGGAGATACAATGCAGTTTGAGTATGAAACTAATGCACATGAAAGTGATGAACGGATCCAAACAACTTGCCGAGGTACTTCTGTACATTCTCAGTCGAATAAAACTCATGAGACTAAAAAATCCACAGAAGACACTGAACCTGGAGACACGATCAGGACAGCTGACGGTGGTGAGAATGAATCACCTAAAATTAGAGACAATGATAAGGATTGTGCCATGGCTTTGCATGGTTCTAATGGTCTGGTAACTGAGAGTCAAAGTACATCTTCTGAGGGTGTTACTCCTAGGATTAACGATGAACGTCAAGCATTGAGTGAGATGATTGGGATTGTTGCTCCTGATTTAAAGGAGAAATTTGTGCTTGCTGCTATCTCTGACTCGGATACTGAAGATTGTGCTGACAGCGAGGAAGATAATTACAAAATAGTTGCAAAGTCTGGAACAATGTCAGATGCAGAGACAGAGGGAAGCAACCAAGCTGATGTTGATCAAAAGCATAACGATCTAATGGACGATGACGACGAAACTACAGGTGAAGATTCCCTCGGGTAGCAGGCATGCCTATATGGGTATGAAACCATGTTCATATTGAACATTTTCACCTCCTTTTCAGTTTCCAGTCTGTATGTATTCATTTTAGTGTACATTATTTAATGCTTAGTGTTTTAAGTAAAAACGTATTTAAAAAATGCGTATATTGATCAATTCACTTCTGAATAATTAATTAAAGGTTCAATACGTATGCATGGGTTTAAGAGTTCAGTATTATCACTGGAAGGAGCTTTCATATGCCTGATCTCGTGCCAGACTTCTGTGCCTACACATATTTTAGTTTTTTCAATCTCTTAACACAACTCAAATGGAATCGGTTTGTCCGAACCGGTTCAATCAGTCAAATCGGTTTATGGCTCTGCCCATGAATTGGGGCCGTCTTTTTTCAGCTCTGTCGGGATGGGGTACTTCTGCTGTGTGGCAGCCTAATCAAGGTAATTATGGTGAATTTTAACATAAAATGTTATTTAATCCAACCTAATAAGTTATATAATTGGTAACAATTTCTATTACAACAAAAAATGTTATATTACAACGAGTAATCTAGGTATTACATGTTTTCTCTTAAAAGTTACAATTAATAATTATGTGTTGGCGAACCAGCCATCCTTCTATCCCAGGATTTCTTAATCCAGGCAATAATTTTGAGAACTTTTCCCACATTTTTAATCAAAAATAAAAGAAGACTTGCATGGCAGAAGCCCTGAGGGACTGATTTCTTTGGGTTTTACTGCTAAGCTTTAAAGTCAGAGCTCTGATCATCAAAAGAAGTATGAAACCGATACATAAATGTGAATATCCAAAGGAGCTATAATTGCATATTTTTAGGTTTAATGATGATAAAGAGGATGAAAAATCCTAGGGACAGCTGCATTCAGTAACGAAAGAGTCAGAAATGTTGATAGATTTCTAATTTGAAATTTAGAGAAAATTGGGATGTTGATTTGGACCACAAGGTTTCTGGTTGAATATCGATGGAGGATGGTGAAGAATAGCAGCAGCAACCTCCACTGTTCACCACTTGCCACTATCAATGGTTGCATGGGAACCCATCATCCAACAATGCTCTGCCCTCATAATCTTACCTTATGATTTCTCTTCTCCTTTTCCCTTTCCCTATTTCAATTGGTCCAATAGCCTATGTTTCTTCATTACAAGTCACTGCATAGCTTAAAGATAATAATAACACTTATAGAACGCCAACTATGAACATTCGGTGCCTCTTGTGTTACAAATTCCAATCCAAAAGACAAACAAAAAGATCCAAATATAGGGCAATTACATATTACCCGTCCCTTTCGCCTGTGCCCTTCCAATTATCTTTTCTACATGTGAATTTGCATGTGCCTTCATTTTCCATACGCTATTATAATAAGATTAAAACTTACTTTACTCTTAACTAATCCAACTACTTGGGTAATTAAAGTACAAGCATATAATATACAGACGCGTAAATGAAGCAGAAATAATAAAATATGATGTGTTGACAAATGATTAAGCATAATAATGGTACTTGAGCAATTGGATTAGTGTGAACCTGACTGAGCCGGTCCAACACGTAAGGGATGATGGGTGCAGTGAATTTATGGATCCAGTCAACACCCATAACGATCTTGTTAATTATAAATCTTATTGTTTAGGTTGTACTTACGCATTAGGATTTGCTGGTCCCCATTCATGGTTAAGCTTCTCACTCGATTGTTATATTTAGAGGTCTCATATGTATTAGAGATCACAGGAGTGTTTGAGTTTTTATTGTCAAATGATTGAAAATCTTTTGAACAGATATTACCTTGTAATCACGTTAAATTAATTAAAAAAATATAATTAAATTAAACTTTTTAAAACTAAAAAATGGTTACATAAAGATAAAAAGTGTAGTTTAATTTTATTTTTGAAATTGAACGTATGGCTAGGGCAAGGACTCATCAAAAGTTACTTCATACTTGTCTGTTTATAATCAAAACTTTGACAAGCAGCATGAACCCTGTGATTAAGTGGTGAATTACGTTAATGAATATTTTAAGAGGAAAAAGATTGGATCATATTCAACCTGTTTTTTCTACAGCAATGATGGCATCGACAACAACCTGCTTTGAATACAACGAATCACCAAGTATCGAAATGTGGGTATCCATGGAGAGAAACTGAAGGAGAAACTTCCCTAAATTCAAAAAAGATGGAGAAGAAAGGAAATGTCATTTTCTGTCTGCCCGACACCCTCTGCCTTGAGTCTTTTACACACTCGATCATATTTATTAGTAATAGTACATCCATTCCATAAAGATACACACAGAATACGAAATTTTATTTTATATTTTCCTTCTTTCTCTCTGCCAATTCGTTCTTCTATTTGAGTCCTTGTGCCATCATTACTTTCGAAAGCCCTTCCCCCCCCCCCCTCTCTCTCTCCCCCTTTTCATCTTTGTTTTCAGATTAATAACATTATTACCCAGCTATATAACACTTGTATTTTCACCCTACTTTTAGTGCGCACAAAAATCATCCTTTTCTTTTTCATATACAAAATCCCTTTTTTCCCTTCCGATCTTAAACATGTGGGTTAATTCTTCTCGACATCTTTCCAAGCATCGACATATCGTTCGTGTTCGAAGACTCGACAGGTTAACTTAAGATTTCGTTGGTCTTCTTCGTTGTTTTTGTCTCTGTCTGGTTTTTAACAAGGATGTTGTGTGCTTGATGGTACAGGTTGAGAAGGTTAAGGAAAGGAGTAGGTAATAAAACATATGTCCAAATGAAGAACTTGAAGCTATACGTGGAGAATCAAATCATCATGGAAGCGAACGAGAGGCTGAGAGAGAAAGCTCTTCTCCTTCACCAGGAAAACAAAACACTGTTGGCTCAGCTACAAAAGAAGTTCTCTAATACCCAGAATCAGTGGTGAGAACCAACAAAACAATATATAATATATATATATATATATATAGTGCAACAGTGATTGTCCTGATGGAGAAGATACAGGAAAAGAATCATAGTAGTTAATGGTTGGGGGGAGGTGTTTCTTTATTTCTTTGTTATTCATCTTTGATTTGGAATAATTTTGGAGTTTTTACGGGTATATTAATTGTATTATCAAGAACGGGAATATAACCCAGAGAGGTTATCAGCTAATTAATAAGCTCATTTCACACGACCTAACTTCCTTGAACCGTGAATTAATCGAGTGATTTTAGTGGTAAAAATAAATATTATTCTCTTTAAAAAAATCTGAGTTTGAGTAGTTATATATATATGTAAGGTGTATGCACCTTATTAATAGATTAATTTTTTTTAAACAAGTATTATTACTTTATAATCCCTTTAAACTATTAAAAAACATCCTCCAATCACTGGGTGCATTGGTTCAAATAAATATCCACAATTTATTTATGTTTAAATCATTATAGGAATAGATTATAAACATTAGCAATTCACCTCAACAAATTTACCAAAATTGTACCCTTTTTGCCAAGGTAGCAGCTCCAAATGGTAACTTGAAAGGTGGCCTAAAAAACCCAAGTTGTGCAAGAGCTGTGTTAAGGCAAATGGACTTAGGCTCCTCGCTCTAGACCACCCCACGGTGCACAGTACAAATTCTATAACCTTTAATTCAATCATCCAGCTAAACCATTTAATAGTAGAGGGCTTCATTTAAACCAATCTCTAGTGGATTAAACTAAACCATTAATTGGTGGAGGGATTAAGTTGCATCAATCTTATAATAGATGAATTAAGCTGTGATGTAAGGTATTTCTACCTTTTGATTGTGGATCTAGTAAATGAGCAACAACCTGCAATAAGATAAATCACACAAAAGAAGAACGGTTTAAGGTGGGTTGATGTAGGTGATGTAGGTGGGCTGATTTAGAGTGACGAGCTAAAGGTTTTGGTTGATATGTTTATGGCGTGGTGATGGCTAAGAAAGAAATTGATGGATGATTTAAGTGTATCTTGAAACAACAAGAAAGAAACTAGGATATAAGGATCCTAACACCTTTCCTTATAAGTTGTTCAAGGGGTGGTAGCAAAGGATTTGGCCCCTCTAGTTATATAATACCTAGGATGCACAAGTATCAATGGAAAGATGAGGGTTGACGCCACAAGCACAAGGGCTTGATAAGTCGATAAAGTTCTACAAAGAACTAAGAAAGAGGAAGACCTCACAAGTGAATAATAATAATAAGTTGGATGCCCTACAATATCCAAGGCATTAACTTATATAGAAAATGAAAAGGAATGACCAAGAGATACATGACGTTCGACCAATGTATATTCCTTTTCATAAATACATAATGCATGAATTAATTTAAATGAATGAATATGTAATGTTTCGGCTTGAATGGGGAGGAATAATGCTTGGCTGAATAGGCATGTGATGCTTCACTTTGCCACCTAAGTGAGGAGTTATAACTCCTTGTGGCCGAATGGTTGGCACCCTTTGAAGTTGGCGCCTAGATGGCTCACACGCCTTGCACATGTGTTGTTGGCGCCTAAATGGTTCACAACCTTGCACATGGGCTGCTTGGATGGGCGCACATCCTTCCTTGATAGCATGGACCTTCACGCCAATGTAGGTGAGCATTCGACTAAGGCATGGTGCATAGCACATGGCCGAGAGGTGTAGCTTGCTTGGTGAGTGTCTAGGTAGCTGGATGGTCAGTTAGCTAGCATGGTGAGCTTAGGTAACTAGCTAGGTGGTGTAATCATCTAGCTAGACACTTAATGTTATTTAAGCTCCTTCTAGCTCTCGATAGTCTTCAACTCAGCTTCCAGCTTCTCAGCTACTCTCCAACTAATGTCAACTAATCTCCGGCTCTCTTAGCTATCCTTTGAGTGTATTGAGCTCCCTTGAGTGATCGTGAGCTATCATTTAATGTCCTTGATCTTATGAGTTGCCAAAGAGATAGTGAGCTATCCATGAGCTGCCATATGCCTTCCTATATTTCCATAAGTTGCCATATGTCTTCCTAGCACGTCAAACACCTATGTATGTAAAGAAAACAAATAAATAAGTTAAGGAACTTATGTAAATGAAGGATTAAGTTGTTTCCATGCATGGTTAAGCTATGAAATATTGCAATGAGATATCATAAACTAAGTATGAGCTAGATGTATGCATGCAAATGAAAGATAAACAAATAAAAAATGTGTATGAATATAATATGCTACATTTGAGTGAAATGATTTCCCCGAATTGTTTAGCCTTTGATCTTGTGATAGGTCTTTGTGGCATGACTTCCGGGTCAGGTGCTGCTATGATCACATCAAGCTGATTCATTTAATACTAATAAAGATACTAATATGAATAGATCACTATGAAAAAAATGAATTATGCTAATTTTGGCATTATGCCTAAATACAATTATAAAAGTGAAAGCACATTTATCCTAAAATTTTGCTAGTGACCAAAATGAAAATTTTGAAAATTTTGTGGTCAAAGTATAAACTTGGGAAAAGTATAGAGACTAAAGTGTAATTTTAAAAGTTATAATTTTAAAAAAATTATGTAATATGATCCCCAAATAAATAGTTTACCCCCACGAATGATGTTTTTGTGGGTTTTATATTTTTTGTACGAAATTTGTATTAAAAGCTATAAAGCGATAAAGTCTGGGAAAAATTCGGATAATCGAATCAAATCGGGATTTTTGAGATATTTTGAAGAATGATAAGGTAAGGTTAATAATGTCATTTTCATGTCTTAATTTGGAAGGATTTAATATGGACCATTGGATTTAAGTTGATTTTTCATGTTAAATCTAAGTCGTTTGATGAAAAATGGCAAGATTGTAATTTTAGAAATTTCCAAGGGCAAAGTTGATAACTACTAACTTATTGGTTTAATTTTGACCATTGGATGAGCAAATGGACATGTGGCATGATGATGAGCTTTGGATTTTAAGGGTGAAGAGGTCATTTTGAAATAAAATGAATTTTAAATACATGGCAAATGCCTTAATTAAATCAAATAAGAAATTTCAAGAACATGCTTCATCTTTCTATCCATGGCCGCGAGTCTCCTTAAGGTAAGAGAAAATTGTCCTTTTTGATTTTCAAGTCAATTTATTAGGAATTTGGATGAAGCATGAAATAGAAAATTGTTTTACTTGGAATTCTCTATCATTTGGTACCATTAGTTCATGTTTTTCATGCTTGAAACCTTAAGTTCTTGAATTAGATGGATGAGGGGGAGGTTAGGTTTTGATGATCTAAGAGTTGATTATGATGTAGTTGATGTTGGAGAATCATTTTCATACTTGTATGATGATTGAAATCACTTGAAAATGCTTATGTTGAATTCGACCACGTAGGGTTTATGTTGAAATTGGAAGTTTGAATTGAAATTGATATGGAATTGGTTGGAATTACATGGAATTGATGTTATGAGCTTCAATTCATGCTTGAATCAAAGTGAAAATCATGCTAAAAATACCCTATATCATTCGGCCATAGTGAAGAAACTAGGGAAAATTGTGGGAAAAAATTCCCTAAGGCTAGAAATGCTAAATGAATGATTCTATATGCTCTAGAATGTGATTTGGACCAATTTGAAAGTTTGTTAAATTTTAAGGACCAAAACACAAGTTGTAAGAATTGGTGAAGAAATTAAGGATGCAAAACAATGAAAACTATTTAGATTTTTTTATCTGACAATACATGTCACTAACTATCTTGAGAATCCACATGAGCTATACCTTTCTATCATAGTCAAATCTATTATCAACCGATCATATTCACCTAATTTACTAACCTAAGAGATAACCATAATAACTTTATGTTTGTCTAATAACAACACTTAAGAGTCGTTATAAAACTTCTCGCTCGAGACCGAGAGAGGGGACTAGACTCTCTCTCATCACTTTTCTTCCTTATGCTTCCTTATGAAGTCATTCTTTCACTGATTGCAACTCTTCGTCTTAATCAAAATGAATGAACCGTCAATAACTATCGTAACCAATTTCTTTCCATCAACAATATATATATATATATATATATATAATATATAAAGAAAAGAGAAAATAACTTCAGTGACCGAAAATGCCTTATAATATACGATTTTAACGAATTTTTTTTGGATTTGTGAAAATGACCAACAAATTCGCAACACGAACTCCAATTTTACAACACAGTTTCTAGATTCGCAACACGAATTTCCCAGATTCGCAACTCGAATTTCTTTTCCGCAACGCGATTTTCCAAATTCGCAACGCGAATTTCACAAATTTCGTAACTCAATTACCGATATAGGTAAACACGATAGAAAAAATCCGATCAAAAATCCGAATTTCGTAATACAGTTTCTAAATTCACAATTCAAATTTCACTTTCGCAACACAATTGAAATTCGCATTACGAATTTCACTTTCATATTACGAATTTCACTTTAACAACACTTACTGACCGCATGTTTCTCTCTCTCCCCCCTCACTGTCAACAAGTTCTCCCAATTTGAACACGTTGATGTTATATAAAAAATTCAATTATTTTATATAAAAAAATGATTCATCTTATTCTTTTTCAATTTCAAGGTAATTAAAAATTCAATTATTTTAAGATAATTAAAAAAAAATTCCTTTTATTCTTTTACACTTTCGGAACACAATTGAAAAAACTCATTGCGAATTTCACTTTCCCAATTTCAAGGTAATTAAAAATTCAATTATTTTATATAGAAAAGATTCCTTTTATTCTTTTTCAATTTCGATTGCTTAATCTTTTTTCAAATCCCGTCCAGGTTCTCCTTCCATGGCCATTTGCTTCCCCCTTCATCTCCTTCCTCACATTATGTGGTTGTGAATTGTAAACTCCCCTGTGGATTGAAAATGGGACTGATGATTTCATTGACAATATGCTTTACTCTGTATAAGTTGCAAGGAAAATAACAACAAAGAAAAACAAGAACAGATGCAGCTTTTCCCATGCCTGTTGTTTGCTGTGAAGATAACCTCTCGTTTCACTCTCTTTCATGGGTACTGATTCAATTATGAAGACAAATCAATGGTCCCAAAAGAAAAGAAGGCACTGTTGTGCTTACAGTTTAACAGGGTTGGGAGTGCTTGGCAAGGCCATAAAAAAAATTGGGTGTTGCGAAAGGCAGCAAAGTGTGCGTGTTGCGAAAGTGAAATTCGTAACGTGAATTTTAATTGTGTATTGTGAATTTGACTTTTGTGTTGCGAATTTTAAATTCGCGTTGCGAATTCCAAACTGAGTTGCGAAGTTGGAGTTCGTGTTACGAATTTGTTGGTCATTTTCGTAAATCCAAAAAAAATTGATTAAAATCGTATATTATAAGACATTTTTTATTACTGAAGTTATTTTCTCTAAAGAAAAATCCCCGAACTTGAAACGATGATTGCCATTTGACGATTGGGTTTTGTTGTATTTATGTATATTCCATTTCGAAGAAAAGAAGACATAGAAAGTGAAGTATATACACTGAAAAAGGAAAGAAAAGAGCTTCAAGAAGCTTTAAAATTGAAAGAAGTAAGAAATTTAGGGTTTATTTTATCACTATCAGAACCAACTAAAAGAGAGTTTGCATGCATATGCATGTACTGCTAAGGATATAAAATTGTAGGAAACTAATTATAAAAATCATTAATTAAGTGCACGCAACTGATATTGATTAACCCTGAAAAATTTTGTTAATTAAATGAGAAGAAATGGTAACTCTAATCTACAAACAACCAAGGAGGGTAACAAACTTTATATATATAAAGAATATGGAATGAAGAATAAAATCAAAGGCTTTATTTTATTATAACAATTGGAAACAAAACGTGAACTTACCTCCTTTAATTGCCACTTTACATGTACAGTGGCATTGACAGTTTTTATCGAGAAAGATGAAACTTTAACGCATGAGGAGCAGACTACATGGATTTGTCGTGCATGCTTGTTTACTCGTGTTGTTGGCTTGGCTTTTCTACATGGGAATTATACAAGGAAATGGTTGCCTCGAAAAGGAGCTTCCTTCTTTATCATACAGAGCAGCGCACGTGTAACCGGACAAGCTGATTCCATAATGAAACCTACCATTTTATCAAAGCAAGAAGATACACAAAAGACAGTAAAATCCTAAGCCCGTAACCTCCCATCTCCTTTGCCTTCCTTCCAAAGTTATGATTTTTAAAACAAATTTCTGAGAAATGGCTACTACTTTTTATAAAAATTCAACTGGGAAGAAAACCCACACCTGCAGGGAAGATATATTCCAGGAAATTTGTACATTCTTCTTCAAAGTACTTCAAATTAAAGCCGTGGTGATCAACTTCTTTAATACTTAAACATCAACTATTTTATAAAAAGGAATAAAAGGGTGACCAAAAACAAACAAAGAGGAAGGAAAGAAAAACACGAAATTTTATGTGTTTTTTTGTTAATAAGGGGGGTGACCTGTGCCCCAGTAGGCCTCAGCTGGAATTTGGACTGAATTTAAAAGATTTGGTGGCAATCCTTGAGGAAAAGATCCATTGGGATCTTGCAATAGTTGCGGTTGTTGTTGTTGAGCAGCCATGTTTCCCGGTGACCCTAAGGTTCCACTTCCAGGAATTGGAGGCTCCACTGGTTGTTCATCTTCCTCCAATGGAAGCCTTTCATACGCCGCATTACCAAAAGAAGCTGCCATAATCACCACCGGACCCGAAGCAACAAGTGGACCCACCGCCGTCCCTCCGACTACTTGACCTTGACCACCGGCTAAATATATGGCCAATCCCGACGCAGCCGCTGGTGCCGGAGGAGGTAAAAACGAACCAGAAAGTGATAAAATTTCGAATCTTCCATTTAAATTCACTACTGCATCTGGAGCTCCAGGTTGCCTCAAGGTTACATTCGTTACCGTTCCACTCCCACTCAAAATGCAAATCCCTCTTTGTTTTCGCCTGGCGAAAGTCGAAACGCTCTCCATAATATCACAGCCGGTGGCGATTTCCATGACGTGAGACCAGAGAGCATTGGCGCTATCTCGGGTTATGATTATCGGTGGCTGAGGCTTGTTCTTGGAACCGGCGGGCCTGCCTCGTTGTCTTCTCGTATTTTCGCCTTCGGATACGGCCAACTCCTTGTCTCCACCCGTGTCTGTCGTGGCAGTGGCTGTTTCTTCTTCTCGATCTCGTTTCTGGCCACGGTTTTGTACGTCTTCGGAATTCTGTTGCTGTTGGTGGTGATGATGGAATTGATGGTGCGGGTTTAGATGAAGATCTCTAGCGAGGAAAGAAGGAAGATGGCGGCCATGAGCTGTTATCGGATCCATTCTTCCCTTCAAAGTTCAAACCCGATCATCAACAATTAGTTAACACGTACAAGAACCAGCTGAATTTCGATGGATCAAAAGAAAGAAAAAAGAGTATATGGTTTCTATTTTTGTTCCTGTGCAGGTTTAGAGCTTTGGGGTTTACTCTGCTGAATAGTTAGAGGTATCACCAAAAAAGGGAAAGAGAAGAGCTTTGAAGCATCGACCACCAAAATTTAAGTTGAATCAAGCCATCTATCTTCTTTGTTAGACATAGGTAGTTCATGGAAGTGGTCTGCTTGTCTTGTAATTAGATAAGTTTTGGTTAAGGGTTTGGAAGAGAAACAACAATGGTAGAGGGGGGGGGGGGGAGAGAGAGGTGGTTTATGGGTTTAGATCTGAGGCGTATTTGTGGTCAAAGTGTTGTTGTGGGTTAGGGCATGATGAATGCCGATATTATTCAATTTTGTTTTATCTGAAAATCTGATTTAATAATTTAATATTTGATTTTCATTTAATTAAAAATATTATAATTTAAATTTAAAAGAACTCCCATTTAAAATAGTTTACTATATTCATATGCGTATATTTTCCTTAAATTAGTGAATAAAAAATCTATAATTAAGAACGAAAATGAATAAAATAAAAATATGAAAACATAACTTACTTACATCTAATTTTGGTAAAAGGGATAAATATTCACGTGATTTTTCATATTTGTGTTTTATTCACTTTTTTCTTTACGTATTTCTTTAATTTCATTTTATTTATAAATAGTTTATACTTTTATAATTTAGTTTAAAATTATCAATACTTTTTTCCTAATGTTACCAATAACGGGCTGTAACTTTTCAAAGTAAAAAGTTAAACTCAGATTCCTACATAATTTTCAAACGATTTCACTAAATATTATAAAAATTAGTGTAAATTATATCTATAATTACTTAACCATTGTTTATTTTTATTTTGGTTATTTGATTTTCTTTTTACTTTATTAACAAATTATTTAACTATTTCAATAATGTATTGTGATTAGAGGATTAAATTTATTGATTAAAATTAAAATTAAGACCAATTTGATATAACATATAAACATTAAGGATCAAATGCATAATTATACCAATTTTATTAAATGTCACGTTAACACTTCTTTAAATATTAATGATAGATAACTTCATTGACATCATTTAAATAATCAACTAACTTGATCAACAAAATTAAAAATGACAAAAATTTAAAATAGTTATAAGTATATTCTATTCTAAAATTTAGTTAAATTATCAACATAATATATTTTTAATATTTTTATCAAAATGAAACCTATAAAACTTTAATTCTCAAAATGACATTCATTTGTGTCACATAGGATGAAGACATCCTACATGACAGTGCCTTTTGAAAGACTCTTTCTCGAGAAAGAGTTTTTGCTTAAGCGGAAGGTATTGAATGACATCAACATTGACTATGGACTTATCACATAAACAAAGACGTTTCCTTGAAGAATAGTCTTTCAAAATACATTGCCACGTACGCACGTTTTTGTTTCATGTATTAGAAATAAGTGTCATTTTGAAAATCTAAAATTTTTTATGCCAGTTTGATAAATAAATATTAAAAAGAGTATCATTTTGATAATTTAACCCTAAATTTTCGCATGACTTTGAAAATATTTTTATTCAAGTATTCATCATGTGTGTGGATGGGGTTTAGTTTTGGTAAAAGACAGCGTGATGTGAGCATGGGCAGCGTTGTGGGTTTTTTTTTCCTCTTTATAAATTTGTGGGTCTCCCCTCCGTGGGTCCCCACGTTCTCCCCTTTTCCATTCTCTCTCTATCTGATCATAAATGTGTGTATCTTGAGAATTCAAAGCCTGCAATTTCAAGAAACTCTCTACTCTCTACGTACTTGGAGCAATCCCAACGATGGTGACAACACTCAACCAAAAACCTAGAGAATCTTAATCTCTCAATCCTATGCTCTCTTTCATGGGATGGGGTTGGTTTGTCTCACCCTCCAAACTTTGTAAGTGATTTAACAATAAGAATTAGTTTTTTTTTTGGAAGATTTAAATTCGAATATTTATATTTGTATAATATATGTATGTTATTAATAAATTAAAAAAATATAATTTTATAATTATCTCCGATTAGAAGTGAAGTTCAATATGGTTGAGAGGAAGAATAATAGAACATTTAATGGGGATGCATGGGAAATTGTATCAGCGAAATAGGGTCAGGGCGTGTCTTAAGGGATGGGGGTTTCTAGGATTCCAATTCATTGAACCAGCGAATCCTCTTGCCTTGTGTTTGTTTATTTACCAACTGCAGCGATTTAAATAAATAATTTAAGAGTGGTGGATGAGTAGGTACAAAAGACTAGTCATAGAAGAAAATGGGGTGCATATGGTTTTATATATAATGAACTTATTCCATGACGGTTAGATCGTCGGCTGAGAATAAATAATGAAGTTGAAACACTGTTTCTTATGTAATTTGTGGAAGAAAGAAAGTGGTCCAGGACAGGGCCGGCCCGAAACAAACAGTCATCTCCTCCCTTCTAAACGAAACCCTCCTTTTTTTATAAAACAAATCAAAACCCCTTTATGTTGTCCGATAAAACAAAGACTGTAAAGCTAAGATGCACCAAGAGAGTGGACCACCTCAACGGGAAGACAAAAGATGTGGTTTTCACCGCCATGTGAGGGGCACCACCTGTTTGCTTCCATGTTCTTGCAAGCCGCTTTTATGAGCCAAGGTGGCTCGAGATTGTTGCACCCGTTTTCTCTGTCCTGTCTCCATGGAAGAGCCAATGGTCGGAAGCTTTGGTTCTTTTGTTAATTAATCCAATTCCCGCATCGAGCGCTGAGAGACTAAAACAGCCGACACAACTGAGGTTTCCATGTGATTGATTAATAGCGATTTGTTTTTGGAATCATTCTTGTCGTCTCTTCACCTGCTTCTATGACTTCTCTCACTCCTGCTAACCGTTGGAACTTTCCGTAATGATATTTTATGTTTTTTTTTTTTATTATGTTTTCATCGTCAAACTTTACAGAAGATAACATAAATAATAACATGACAAATACAACAACATATTTAATTTTCAAAATATGTTTTATTAATTTAATTTTAATTTAAAATAATTCAACAAATTTATTCTTCTATATTTATAAATTTTACAAATTTAATCCTCAAACATCATCGTCTAATTGTAACCAAGGATTTACATTACAGTTGTGATTGTGTTTATTACGAATGTAGACATAGCGGGTACTATTTGTGGGTATCGCGGTATACAATAACAGTTTCATACGGTACTATTACCGATGTATAACGATCACTATTCCGATAATAGACCGTTATTTAAATCTCTCCGATTGCAACGGCTTGTTACTTAAAATTAATATTAAATTGATAAAAATTGTAAATATGATAAGTTGATTTTTTTTTGAATTATTTTAAATTAGGATCAAATTAATTGAATAAATAAAATTTAATGATGATGATGATTAAAATAAATGAAAATATAACGTTAGTGAACAAACAAAAATTTTAATAATGAGATGATTAAAACATAAATACAATGATAATTGGGTGATTAAATTATTAAGTTACCCTAAAAAATTTTAAGTTTTGGTAGATGAGAACTTGGAAATTTGTAATTTGAATTTTAAAAAAAAGTTCACGTCCATTAATGTGTGAATCCTCAGTTTCACACAGATAATTGTCTCCAAAGGACAATAATATAGTGATAACTTTGTGAAGTTTTCTGTTGTCTTTAATATTCTAAAAGATATATATATATAAAAAAATTCTCTTGCTTTTCATTGTATGGGTGTTTGACCTGGATAATAAGAAATAATATCTTAACGAGAGCAAGCCAAGGAAACAACATGATTGTCTTTTAACTTTGAATGTTAAATATATGTTTTGATATATAAATTTAACTTCAAGATTTAATCTGTTACGTAAATTTTTTTATTCAATCAAATATTTTAAGTAGATTTTTTTTAATTCAAATTAGTGCTGAAATTTGATTTTATAATATTTTATAATGGTTTGAATAAACCACTTACTAAAAGTATTAATTTGAACTCAAAGACCAAACTCATGTATCAATTTGAAATAAGAAACTAAATTTATGTACTTAATTGGATCCAAAGAGACTTTTGATATCAAATTGAATAATTTCAGGTAGTTAATTGGAAAAATGATTACGTACCAAATTGAAAATGGCCGTTGCAAAAGCCATGGAATAATAAATTAAAAAAAAGGTAAGTAGTGCACATCTTTCGAAAACTCATTTAAATATAATTCGGAGCAGCTTGGACGCCGAAAATAATGGAATTCATGAGGCACCGACTTCATAATGTGTGTGTCTATATACCATAAGTGGTCTTCAATTTCTCGTATTAAATAATTGTATTTTTCTTGAAGGAAAATTGATTATCTGAAACTTGTTAAGATGGAAAAGGGACGGAGAAAAGAAGTCCAAGTTGCTCAAAGATGTCAGTAGTCAAGAGAGCAAGACAGCCATAAAGCCATGAAAGAGTTCCATTCGTGCTTTCTGCAAAGAGAAGAACCCTATCTCTGAAGGGCTTCTTTCGTGAGGAAGAACTTCGCTCACCACCCGAACGGGACATGCCATCAAGCAGTTCGTTTCCATTTCATCACTTCAAAAACCTACCTTCCAAACTTTTATAGCAATAAGGTAAGGCCGAGGCTATTAGGAAGTACATATATTCATCCAACCAAAAACCAAACAAGCCGATCAGGGAGACTGAGGCTATTAGGAGGTACATATAATCGAGAACACGTAACCAATTGCTGCTCTTACTATAACATAAAATATTAGCATCGACAACAGTCGCAGAAGATACAATCCTGAAAGACTGGTTAATGGAACACTTACCTATACCGAGTGTAATGTGATATCTATGTACTCTGAAGAAAATGGCTGTTATCCCACAAAAGCCTACACGTCAGGATGGGAAGTACGAACCAATTCAAAACCAACTCTTAACACTCTTCATATACTTCCACTATATTCGAGTTATTATATAACCTATAGGAGAAAATAAAACTATGGAGTTAGATTCTAAGGGTTGAGAGAGAAAGGGGGGGGGAACATTTATCATCCACATTCAAAAACACAGTCCAATTTTCACCGGGACAAACATGATCGAAGAAGAACTGGACCGAGGAGCTAAGCATATCACTGAGAGCTACCTGGACCTCATATGAACCATGCTCGGCACTTATCAAGACTGCATAGTCATCACAGCAAGAGGTGCACGGGCAGCCAATTCTCTTTGTTTCCCAGAACCTAAAGGAATAACCCATTGTGTTTGTCCGTTGGGAGATGTTTCAGAAGCCTGTCCAGGGCGTGTAGTTTCAA